TTGTCAAATTTACCTATCCTATTAAACTTTTAAATGCCAGAATTTTAAAATTTTTTATAAAGTTTATTCTTACATTTTTAGTACTGCTTATTCAATAATTTAAACATCATTTTTATTTATCACTAAACTCTCAAGCATAAATCAAGTAATTAAACTACCTTAAATTAACAAATTTTTCAAGGGGATTATTTTTCAAAGATCTTCTCAGCAGTCCTTGGTTTCAAGTCCATATCCATTGCTGATATGACTTATAATTATTTCAACTACACAAGGCAGAAAAATGAGCAAACACAGACACAAAATGGACGTAGGCTTGGAGCTAAAACAAAAGACTATTTGTGAGAAATGAAGAATTGGAAAGGCCTTAATTTATAGAGGTGAAGAGATAAGGACCGTGTTTAGAATTGATCCTGTTTTTATTTTTTACGTTTTTTGAGAAAGAAAAAATAAAAATATTTTCAAAACAACGTTTGGCGCAATAAAGACAAAAAACAGAAATGAAAACGATTTTTTAGTTTAGTGTAATATGAGAGAGAAATGAAAAACGACTTTTAATCGTTTTTTATTTTTTGTTTTCATTTTCTCCTCTCTCGAGCAGAGAGAGAAAAAAAACATTAATAAATTTTTTTACATTAAAAATAATCTATTAATAAAATTACCAAATACATTTTTAAAAATAATTTATATTTAAAATTAAAAATGTTTTTATTTTTATTTTTATATAAAAAATAAAATTATTTTAAAATGAATTTCAAACGCGTCTAAAATTATCAATTGAGTAGGAGCATTGTCTTTTCCGGAAAGAGTATTAAAAGCCCATCATTATCTGAGTTTTCAATTCGAGTTGATATGTGACATTTGCTGAGAGCTTTTCACTGTAGCAGAAAAAGTTAGGCGTGGCATTTTTTGAGTGCTTTTTACTGTGGAAACTTAAAATTAAAAACTCGAATCAGTAAAGTGAACGAGACCTGAGTGTACCACTCCCAATTATCGTCGTCGTGTCGTGTGGTTGCACACCTGACACCACATTAAACTCGTATAAAAACAAAAAAAATGGGAAAAGTCTGTAGTAGGACACCCTTCGGATGCACCACGGGAAATTAAGGGAATCCCTGTTAATTTGTAGTCTAACATAGTTGTTCTTTTAATTTATTCCACCTTCCATCATAATTGATGAAAATATTAATTTTCTTCATCTGTTCATACACAAAAGACACACTTATTGATGAGATTAATCTACAGATTACAGAATGTTAAAGACAATTTTTTATTTCTGCAGTAACAAAAGAGCGATGCATTCAAACAACATAAAACCATAATCTGTTAGATTATGACCAATAACCTAGAAGATTGTGAGTTGTATGAACAATACCAATGCATTTCAACATTTTCACAGTACAATAATCTATCATATTATAATTTATTATTTCTGCAGTAACAAAGAGCAATGCATTCTAACAACATGAAACTATAATCTGTTAGATTATGACCAATAACATAGAAGATTGTGAGTTGTATGAACAACACCAATGCATTTCAACATTTTCACAGTGCAATAATCTTTCAGATTATATTATATAAACAACAAGTTTATGTTATGTTTTAGAACAACAATAGTAATGCAGTATCATAAATTTCATTCAAATAATGAATAATAATTCAATAATTGTATAATCTAACACATTCAATAATCATAATGAAAATATTGACACATTCAATAATTAGTAATAGGTCGCCATAATTTATTAGGTTATGAGTTCAGGATAACTTCGTTAGTTTTCAAGCATGCATTTAGTTTTCAAAGATGTTTATGCTCATTTCGTTATCTTTAATGTTCGTCGGAGTTTGGAGTGTGAAGCTTCTCAGGGGAGGTCGTCAAATCTTCTCGAAGTAGAAAATGCACAATTTGAGCTGCGATCTAGACACAGAGGACGAGATCTGCGATTCTTCTAGGAGAACGACGACTTCTGACCGGAGGAAGGGCGGCAAACTTTGTTTCATTGGAGTACAGTGCAGCAACTGATTTTCGCCAGATCTTTGTTGCCAGATTTGCGATGGAGAACGAAGAAGTTCAACGTCTCACGAACTACCTCTTCGCTGGAGGAGTGATGGCTCTCGCCACGGCTGCGTGGAGGAGCGACGACTCCACTGAGGAGCGATGGCTGGGTGAAGGAAGATATCAAGAAGAAAGAGAGATACTAGAGAGAAGAATAAGTAGAGAGAGAAATTTTGGTATTTTGTGAGCTGTAAGTAAACTGAGGGTAAGATTGGGATTTTAAAAAATGATTAATTTAATTGTTTTAATCATTTTAATTGTAAAAGGATAGAAATTAATGAGTTAATATTTAGGAGTTAGAAATTATTTGGGGTACTAGTTTGGGGGTATTTTCTATTTTTTCTATTTTTTCTATTTTTTTTTTCTCTATAACACCATTAGAGAGATGAAAATTCGGAAGATACTAGCCTCAAGTCGTTGTTGTTGTCTTCTTTTCTGCTTTCTGCCTTTTTTTTTTTTTTTTTTTTTTTGGTAAGCAATAATGTCAAGTTGTTAAATTGTACAGAAGCCATACAATTTTGACGCGTATAGACATAGGCCCTTTTGCTTTGGTAGTATTAGGCAATTCTAGCAAGTTGGTATATTATGCACTATATGGAACAATTCTTTCTCAAAATTTTGAAAATGTAGTACATTGTATAGTAAGTCAACTTGCTAGAGTCGTCCAATACTATTAATGTGACAAAAAATAATTCCTTTTTTTTATTATTAAAAATTTTTCTTTCTTATTAAAATGAAAAAAAAAAACAGAAAAAAATGATCAAATTGGTGTTGTAAATTTCAATCACATTGCTCAATGTCTGAATCTAAAAAGGTCGCTTAAAAGAAATGTTGTCGAGCCATTGGCGGATTTCGGTTTACAGTGGGTGGTGGCATGCATCGCTGGCACTAATTGCATCAAAGACTAATCGTGAGTTGATCTGGGCCCATCGCAACCAAAACTATCGCAGGTTGTTAGAGAATCGAGGACCTCCGATTACGAAGAATTTGAACTCCGATCACGAACGTTGCAACTCTGACGTTTTTGACGACTGATAAATAGATATCACTGATATTTCTAAAAAATAATAAACACTAAAAAAAGTTCCTATTTCCAATAGTATACTTACATTTTCATGTCTCATAGATTTTACTCTAAATAAAATCAATACATAAGCTATGCACTATTATGTACGTCTGAAAGTCTAACACTGGGTGAAAGTCGGCTTGATGAGAGAGAGAGCAACACAATGCCTTTATGGAAAGAGAGAAAAGGAGAGAAGAATTTGGATTTTTCCTGATGGAAAAGAATCTGTCCTTATATGATTGAGTGCAACGTAACAAAGTCAAATTTCTAAAAACCAAAAACAAAAAATGCAACAAAATCAAGCAGTCAATTTCCTCAGTGTCACGGAACTTTTCTAAAAATTGGTTATAAGCCCGTGTGTATTTTGTTGTGTAGAAAAATGTAGGTGACATGTGGAACGACGACAGCGTGATACGTTGCCCTATTTTCTCTTAAAATGTGGTAACTCTCGACGCCAAGAGTTCGACTACCCTCGACGCTTGGAGTTCACTATCCCTCGACGCTGCATAGAAAGGCCCAAATTTGTGCCGTCGAACTTATGCAACAACCTTCGAAAAGATAAAAAAGGGCATAAGGTCTGCGCGGCACAAATGCCAAGGGGAACGCTCTTCAGAAAAAAGCCTGACATCATAAGTTGCGTCTAAAGGTGGGAGACATCTGCAATACGGGCATTAATTGTGAAACCCCTAAACCGCCCTACAGTGGGCAGTAAGAGATTATAAGAATCCACAGAGCCGTAATAGAAGACCAATTGGCTGAGTGAACAACCCAAAAGGTGATTAGTGGGCTACGGTCTTAGCATAGAAAGTAGGCCACTCGAGTACTTCCACTTACGAAGGAAAACCACCCACGAAGGAAGCTTGGGCTATAAAAGGGGCAAAGCCCCATACACTAAGGAGGGCTCGAAAAAAAAAGCATTAGATGATAGAGAGGATACGTGCATGTAAATTGTAAAGAGTCTAAAAGAAATATACCATACATAAGTGGATGTAGCTCTTCATTAACAGAGTGAACCACTATAAATCTCATGTGTCCTCTCACTCAAGTGTTATATTCATGCTTTCAAAACACAACAAACACTTCATAACTTGATTTCAAATATACCATTAATTTTCAGCCGGAAACCCAACGGGATACCAGCGGGTAACCCGACGTATTTCTATTGACGAAATTTCATCGTCAACAATTGGCAACTCCACTGGGGACCGAACCCAGAATCTCTAGTTCCGTAGACCAGTTGACATGCCTCCAAGAAGAAGAATCGAGGCCATCAACCAAGGCGGCCAGATGGAAGAAACTGCCGCACATCCGGCAAACGACGGGATGGAAGAAGATCTACCTCCGGTTAGAAATGGAGCCCCACCCCCAGACGTGCCACAACCAGACCCTGTGCATATGCAGGCCCAGCTCACTACCCTAACCGACCTGGTGCGGGGACTGATGACTGTGGTTGAGCGCTTGGATGGAAGAAACTCATTGCTGTCTCTGGAAGATGCCCCGAGGCCGATAGAAGCTGCCGTGGCTGGAAACCACAACCCCGGTGACCGCCAAGACATCCCAGAAGGAATCGGGGACAGTGAAAATCTTCGAGGTGATCCCAGGCCTCGGCCCTCCCAATCCATCGGCAATCGTCTAAGGGCCGCTGGACTTTGAGCTCCTGAGAACCAAATAGCCGGAGGCCTGGGAAACCCCGAAGCGCCACCTCAGAACCTTGGCAGAAACCCTTCAGGAGATGCGGGGTCGGTGCAAGTGGGCGGACAGGTAAGAGGCGGACCTAATGCACAAAGGGCCGAGGCGTCGAGAAGAGCTGGCTCAACAATCTCTATGGAGGAGGCATTAGCCATTATGGAGCGCATGGCCAGCCTATAGCAAAAGCTCATGGGCGATGTCGCCGGCCTAAAGAAAAATATAGGGCAAGTGGCCGAGGTGGTGAACGTTGACATCACACCTAGTCGGACGCACGACCACCCGTTTACCGAGGAAATTATGGCGCCACCAATCCCTGATAAATACAGGTCACTCTCGATCCCACCATACGACGGTAGGGGGGATCCCGATGATCACCTAGAAATGTACACAGGGCACATGCTCTTGCATGGATATGCCGATGAGATCATGTGCCGAGCCTTTCGAAACCATTTAACGGACTCTGCCCGGAGATAGTTTCGAATGCTAAAACCAAACTCTATCTCAAGCTGGGACGAGTTGAAGGAAGTATTTTCCCTCCAGTTTATGGGAGTGAAAAAATATGTCCCTCCAAAGCAAAATTTGACTACAATATACCAGAAGCCAAACGAGTCATTAAAATAGTGGCTCGCAAGGTATGGGGAAGCTGTTGCCGCAACAACAGACATAACCGACAGGGAAGCCTTGATGGGGGCATTATCTAGCATGAAAAAAATTACCCCCTTCAAGAGAGAGCTGAACCGGAAGCCTCCGTCCAGTTATAAAGAATTCCTTGCACGAGCGTAAGGGTACATCAATGCTGAGGAAGCAGATGCAAACTACCCCGAGCACAGGTCCAACAAAAATAAAGGGACTAAGCAAAGGTTGACGACAGGGAAGCAGGACGGAAAGAAGCGACGAGGCAGAGGAAGCGGAGACAAGCAATCTGCTTTGGCGCCGACCACTCCAGAAGCTAAGAAACCGAGGCAAGAGGAGAACCGTAAGCCTCGACCGTTTCAAAGGTACGACTCCTACCATGAATTAACAGTAGGAGTCGAGGAAGTGTTTAATCAGGTAGGTCGCGGGAACTTACTGCGCCGCCCTGAGCCAATGAGGTCAGATCCGAGCCAAAGGAACCAGAAGAAATATTGTAGTTTCCACGGCAACGTCGGCCACCACACTAATGATTGCACCAATCTAAAAGATGAAATAGAAAGGGTAATCCGAGAAGTAAGGCTACAGGAGTTCAAAGTCGAGCGAAGACCAAGAAACGATGACCACGGCTGCCAAAATGACGGTCGACGTCGAGAGGAGAACCAACGACCAGAGGACCGGGAACCCATCGGCGTCATACGAACCGTCCTCGGCGGTCCATATATTGGAGGAGACTCGATGAGATCTCAGAAAGACTACGCCCACGAAGCCAAAAGGGTGTACCAAGAAAGGTTCTGGAATGTCTCCGCCACAAAAGCAACAAGGTTCGGCAGTGCTGACGTAGCATTTAATGAGGACGATGCTAACGGGGTTCACTTCCCACATAACGACACTTTGGTAGTAGAAGCCGTAATTAGAAATCACACCGTATGCCAAATTCTGGTGGACAATGGAAACTCAGTAGACCTCCTATACTCCGACTGCCTAGAAAAGATGGGGATCCCGATGGAGCATTTGAAAAAAACCTCCAGACTGTTGTACGGTTTCACTGGGGATTCCGTCATCTCTCAGGGGACAATCCGGTTGCCTATAACCGCCAGGGAGAAACCCCGACAGGCCACCATAATGGCCAATTTTGTGGTAATAAAGGGAGGCTCCCAATACAATGCCGTCATTGGAAGGGCGACCCTTCAGGTGTTAAGGGCAATAACCTCCATCTACCACCAGAAGGTCAAATTCCCTACCCCAAACGGAGTAGGTGAAATAAAAAACAACCAGTACGAGGCTAGGGTTGCGTATTCTGATGCTTTATGCGGATACGACGAGCCTGGGAGGCAGGAGTCCAGAGTAGTCTATCAAGGCGCCGTTGAGGACATAGACCCCAGGGTCCAAGAGGAGGCCGCATGGTCTCAACTCGTCGAACGGTTGGTGGAAATCCAAGTCGACGAGGATGAGCCAACCAGAGTGCTCAAAGTAGGTTCTGACTTAACCCCATCACTTAGGGTGGAAGTCGAGAGCTTCCTCAAAAAGAACCTGGATGTCTTCGCCTGGAATCATGCGGATATGGAAGGGATCGACCCAAAATTCATATGCCATTTTTTGAATATCGACCCTTCATATCCCCCCAAATGCCAGAAGCGCCGACCAATGAACCCAGAGGGATACGAGGCATTAAAAGAAGAGGTCGATAAGTTGATCAACAAGAGTTTCATTAGAGAGGCCCATTACCTTCGGTGGGTCTCGAACCCCGTTTTGGTGGTCAAGCCTAACGGGACACGGAGAACATGCCTCGACTTCAGTGACCTCAACAAAGCATGCCCAAAGGATGGTTTCCCACTCCCTCGAATAGACCAAATGGTCGACGCCACTGCAGGGCATGAGATGCTGAGTTTTATGGATGCCTATTCTGGATACAACCAGATCCCCATGCATCCGACCGACGAAAAGCACACATCCTTCATAACCGATAGAGGCCTCTACTACTACAAGGTAATGCCTTTTGGCTTGAAAAACGCATGGGCTACATACCAAAGGCTCGTGAATAAAATGTTTGCTCAACTGCTCGGTAAATCAATGGAAGTTTACATTGACGATATGCTTGTCAAAAGCACCATGGCCACCCAGCACGTCGACCATTTAGGAGAAATGTTTGGCGTATTAAGAAGATACAACATGAGGTTAAACCCCTTAAAGTGCGCCTTTGGAGTTGGATCAGCGAAATTCATTTGTTTCATGGTCAATAACCGAGGGATAGAGGCTAATCCCGAAAAGATAAAAGCCTTACAGGATATGAGGTCTCCAACCAAACCAAAAGAGGTGCAAAGGTTGACAGGGTGTGTCGCTGCTCTGAACATATTCATATCAAAGGCAACAGATAAGTGCGTTCCCTTCTTCGACGCTTTAAAGGGAAGTAAGCATTTTGAATGGACGCCACAGTGTGAAGAGGCCTTCCAAAAATTAAAAGAGCATCTGGGCAGGCCGCCGATCCTGTCAAAACCCATCACCAACAAAGAACTGAGCCTATACCTCTCCGTGTCACAACACGCCGAGAGCTCTGTGCTAATAAGAGAGGAAGAAAAGGTCCAGCTGCTAGTCTACTATGTAAGCAAAAGACTCATCGACGCCGAGTCAAGATACACTGAAATAGAACAACTGGCCCTCGCTCTGATGGTAGCCTCAAGGAAGCTTCGGCATTACTTTCAATCCCACATAATACGGGTTCTTACAAACCACCCGTTAAGGCAGGCATTGTAAAAGCCCGAAACATCTGGTCGACTTCTCAAATGGTCAATATAATTGAGCCAGTTCGACATTAAGTATGTACCAAGAGTAGCGATTAAGGGGCAAGCGTTGGCGAACTTTCTGGCTGAATTCTCTCATAGAACAACTCCCGCCACACACGATGTCGAGACGACGAAGTGGAGGCTCTACGTAGATGGAGCGTCGAGCGAAAACGGGTCAGGAGCCGGCGTCCTATTAATCAGCCCAAAAGGCTACAAAATTACTTCGGCGGTACGATTTAAATTCAAGGTGTCGAATAATGAAGCCGAGTATGAGACACTGATTGCAGGACTACGATTGGCAAATCATTTAAAAGTCGAGAGGCTCGGCATCTTCAGCAACTCTCAACTGGTCGTTGGACAAGTAAATGAGGAATACCCAGCGCGCGGTGAAAAAATGGGTGCGTACTTAAGAAAGGTAAAGGAAGAGCTCGTCAGGTTCAAAAGCTATGAAATACTTCAAATACCACGAGCTGAGAACACTAACACTGACGCCTTGGCCAAACTAGCATCATCAAGAGATTCTGACATACTAGGAATTGTTCCTATCGAAGAACTGGAGCGGCCAACAATTGAGGAAAAAATTGAGGCCTTGACCATCCAGACGAACGAGGGTTGGATGACACCACTAATCCAATATCTGACAAATGAAAAGCTGCCAAGTGATAAAGACGAGGCCCGACGAATCAGATATAGAGTCGCCAGGTACCTACTATACGATGGTTTGCTTTACCGACGAGGCTATTCCACGCCTTTGCAGCGATGCATAAACGATGGCGAAGCCCAGAAGGTCCTCCAGGAAATCCATGAAGGAGTATGCGGTAATCATACTGGGGGGCAGTCTTTAGCTCTCAAGGTTTTGAGACAAGGGTATTATTGGCGTACGCTTAAAAAAGACGCATTCCAATACGCTCGACACTGCGATAAGTGCCAAAAATATACCATAATTCCCATAGCACCCCCAGAAAACCTAACCCCAATTCTCAGCCCATGGCCCTTTACCAAATGGGGAGTCGACCTGATCGGGCCCTTACACCTCACACCAAGAGGCTTTAAGTTTGCCATCGTCGTGGTAGACTACTACACTAAATGGGCAGAGGCAAAGGCTCTAACAACGACCACGGAAGCAATTTGCACCAACTTCATGTGGAACAACATCGTGTGCAGATTTGGGGTCCCACACTGAATAGTATCTGACAATGGGAGACAATTCAATAATGCCTCAACACGAAGGTTCTGCGACACCTTAGGCATCCAAAAAGACTTCTCAGCGCCAATACATTCACAATCTAATGGTCAAGTCGAGGCTATCAACAAAATATTAAAATATACCTTAAAGAAGAAGCTTGATGATTTAAAGGGGAAATGGGCTGAAGAACTTCCAAAGGTCCTGTGGGCATATAGAACGACAAGCCAAACTACCACGGTTGAAACACCATTCTCTATGGCCTATGGCGTCGAGGCGGTACTCCCCATAGAAATTGAGACGCCGACTTTACGAATTGTTGTCTACAACAACAATGGAAATACATAAGCCATGAATGGAGAACTCGACCTATTAGAAGAGAAAAAGCTCAACTCCCAGCTACGCGTCGCCGCTTATCAGCAGAGGGCAGCACGATATTACAACAAGAAAGTTAAATAAAGAAGGTTCGTTGATTAGTGCATAAAAATACACCCTAAATACTGCTTTCGATTTATATAATATTAAAATTTTTAAGCTTTAATTAAACAATTCTATTATTTTTATTCATAATATTTTCAATTGGAATTTGTCTAGTTTTTGCTTAATTATTTACAGATGAAAGCAGTGTAAAAAGCTACACAAGAAGAAGCCATGAAAGCCATATTTTTAAGCCTTTCAGTCGAGCCACATGAGCCAGAGGAAGAGCCGCGTCAGCCGAGCCGAGCCACTGTCTTTTCCCTCCGCGTGGGCCCTAGCCCTTCCTCACTTCCCGAATCTTCCTCCTGCGCGTCACCAGCACGCCGTCTCTCAGCGCGCGCGTTTCTTCCACGCTAATATCACCGCGTGTCTCAACTTTCTCCCCAGTGGGTCCCATACCTGTGTTGCCAGCCTGCTCCTTCTCTCTGTGCGCGCCAGCTGTCCGAGCGGGTCCCAGCTGTCTCCAACCGCCAGCTCCCTTCTTCCACTCTGAGCACGACACGTGGCGATTTCACTCTATCCTTCCAATCGTAACGCGACACGTGTCCCCTTGGTGCTGAATCTGAAATTTTCCCTAAAAAATCAGAGCGAGTTACCAGATTTCTTCCCCAAATCAAATATATGATTTCTCCTAATTTATGTGTAATTTTATTTTGTTTCCCTTTCTTTTGTAATTTTCTATTTTTATTGTTTGTTTCCTTATTTGACAGGCAACCTCTAAACACTATAAATAGAGGGGTTAGCCGAAGGTTTTTGAAAGCTTTTAATATTCAGTTTTTTGTCGTCTTCCTGTCAGTCTCATATTTTCTCTCTAGAACTTGTGAGAATGTTTTGCAAGCTAGGCTAGAGTTCTCTTGGTGAGGTTAGAGATGAACTTTTGTTGAGTGATCCAATTCAGGTTTTGATTCCTTGTGCTGTAAAGTTCAATATCTTAATGAATTAAATCTCATCTGTTTTTCTATTACTTTTTAAAATATTATGTGCCAATTTTTATATAAGTTCAGTCACATTTTTCTTATGTAATTATGTCATGTATTGTTTTATTATTTAAATTATTTTACAAATTATCTTTTACTGCAATATTGTCAAATTGATATATTATCGATTTTGGATAACTTGTAATAATAATATTTCGGAGTCAACATAAAGATTTAATTTATTCGATTCTTTTATTTTGTGAATCAAAACTTGAATTGCTGAACAAAACATTAGGGATTCTCGACACCTTACCGTTTTTACTACTAAATTTTCTTCATACAAATTTTCTCTTTTTTATTTTATTTGCAACAAAAATCCCAAAATCTCTTATTTTCCTTTAATTCACTTTTCTTTAACGCTCTTATTCTATAGTCATTCTTGTTATTTTGTTATCTCTCTGTGGATACGACTGCCCTTTTGTGCTACAATCGACCGCTTGTGAACATCACTTTTGGGCGTTAATCAAATTTTGGCGCCATTGCCGGGGAGCCAAAGAGGTACGTACATATTCTCTGTGTTTTTATTTTACTTTATTTTTTTTTTGTTTGCGTGATATGTTTCTTAACTCAAAAAAAAAAAAAAATTGTTTGCTGCATCTGTCTTCCTGTTTTTTTTTTTTCTTTTCTTTGTCTTTTATTTTATTGTTTTTAGCGTCAGTTCCCACTCTCTTTAAAAAAAAAAACTAGATTCTAGCTGTTCCCTTTAAGGCTATATATATATAGGCAAGGTCTCTGGTCAGGCACTTGAAAAATGCCTGACCAGAACGACACTTGTATATTTTTGTATAAAGTGTGTATATTTACAGTAAGTTGTGTATATTCACACGTAAGTTGTGTATATTTACATGACACTTGTATAATTGTGTAATCGTGTATATTAACATGTAAATCGTGTATATTTACATATAAATCATGTATGTTAAGTTATAA